TAGTTAACTGGAGATATGAGTCTCATGGACTTTCCTGCCAGGGCTGGCTTCAAATCATGACCCTCAGATCTCAGTAGCTAGAATTACAGGCATGATCCACTGACAACTGACTTATTTTTCAATAACTTTTTATGTTATGTTTCAAATCTTATACATGGAGCAAGTAAAAAAACAAGGATTTGGACTGTCCATGTAAAGTCTGGCAATAAGTCGTCTAAATATATGTTCTTCTATCTTCCACTCCCCATTTAAACCCTTTCCCCTCACATTTCTTAATCTACAACAATGCTTTATATTTTAAAAATATGCTTATATTAATAAATTTAATAAACAAAGCCATTTTTATAGGATGATGTTCAGCGATCACACTAATTTTTTCATATACTAAGATATTTGACTATGTATTTCTTCTTACCCTACCTCTGCCAAACCAATATGAGGTTTTCTAATTAGGTTCAGTAGACAGCTGTTCAAAGTTCTGGTCAGCAGCAAATTTGTTGATTTCCTGAGCATATCATCTATTTCTGTTGAGCTAAAAACAAAGACTGACATTACTCACCTTCTCAAACATACGGTTAGTTAATATTCTAAATAACACCATTTACTAAAAAATGTTCTAAATTATGGCTTTACATCTTTAAATAAATTGTAATTAGATATTTATTAAATTATAAACTTCAACTGAAAAAGGGATATTTTCCAAAGTAGAATACTCATCAAATTAATTAATATAGAAAAACATGAAGTATTTATTACAAAAAACCAAAACTATTCTTAAATTATAACTCCACTGAAGGACAGTTTCTTTGCAAGACAATTCATATATGATGATAACTAAAAGCTACTTTTTTTTCCCCTAGTCTATCATGAGCTTAAACTCAGGGCCTACGCACTATCCTTGAACTCTTTTGTTCAAGACTAGCTCTCTACCACTTTGAGCCATAGCTCCACTTCCAGTTTGAGTGGTTAATTGAAAGTAAGTCTCACACAGACATGTCTGCTCAGGCTGGCTTCAAACTGCATCCTCAGATCTCAGCCTCCTGAATAGCTAGGATTAAAGACATGAGCAGCACCCAGCTACCAAAAGCTACTTTTAAAATACAAATTGATGTTCCTTCTAGATATAATTACCAGGTTTAATATAACTAAGCCATCCATATTAACTGAGATTTTAAGAAGATATCTAAAGAAATAAATTACCTTATATTATTTTTTTTTTTTTTTGGTCAGTCATGGGGCGTGAACTCTAGGCCAGGGCGCTGTCCTCAGCTCTTCAGCTCAACATAAGCACTCTACTACTTGCGCCACAATACTACTTCTGGTTTTCTTGTGGTTAATTGGAGATAAAAAGTCTCATGGACTTTGCTGCTTGGGCTGGCTTTGAATCATAATCCTCAGATCTCAAACTCCTGAGTAGTTAGGATTACAGGCATGAGCCACCAGCACCCTACACCTTATACTAATTTTAATTTGACACTAAACACCTAAAGTGGTTTTTCAAACTCCTGAGTAGTTAGGATTACAGGCATGAGCCACTAGCACCCTATACCTTATACTAATGTTATACATATTATTGTATATGGTTTTTCCCCCAGTCCTGGGGCTTGAACTCATGGCCTGGGCGCTGTCCCTGAACTTCTTTTGCTCCAGGCTAGTGCTCTACCACTTAAGCCACAGCACCACTAACCTTATACTAATTTTAATTTGATATAAAACACCTACAGTGGTTTTTTTAACATCCCAAAGATTGCTAAAATAGCACTTTAAAAGCTTATTCTTTTCTCCTAGGTCTTCAAATTAAGTAAATAATCATTTCTTGGACATAATCTTTAAAATCTATGAAGCAAAAACATCACTAGTATGTATTTTAAAATAATTGTTTATTGAAAAATGCAGATATAGCCAAGCGCTAGTGGCTCATGCCTGTATTTCTAGCTACTAAGGAGGCTGAGATCTGAGGATCACGGTTCAAAGCCAGGCCAGGCAGGAAAGTCCCCGGAGACTCTTATCTCCAATTAACCACCAGAAGTTGTGATATGGCTCAAGTGCTAGAGTGCTAGCCTTGACCACAGAGAAGCTCAGGGACAGTGCCCAGGCCCTGAGTTCAAGACCCACAACTGATAAAAAAAAAAAGGTTATGATAAAGGCAAATTTATATTAGATTTATATTAGTAAACTCACCTTCGATGTAAGGACTCTGAAAATTTAAGGCTGGCATAAATAAATTCTTTAACTTGAATATAAATATGAGGCACTGACTGAGACATGGGGAACTTCTTGGGGAAAGACTGCTGTAGGAAGAGAAAGAGAATATTATTTTTGAAATTTTAGAAAAAAGGACATACAATCACTTAAAATGTAAACTTACAATCACTTAAAATATAAACATTAAGTTGATTTCACAAAGTAACAATAAGTAACAATATCAAGTATTCAGCACAACTATGATGAAATTGAGGCCAGCCTGAGCTACATAGAGATTCTGTCTTCTCAAAAAAAAAAGGACAATTTTGTTGTTATATTTTTTGCTTTATTTCTTGTACCTTAAACAAATCCAGAATATTTATGAAAAAGGCAGAGCAATTTAAGTCTATATTTAAATCATATTACTACACTTCTATCAAGAACAGACAATACATATCAAATATTTTATATTTTGATGGTGAGCATTGTAGGCTCCCCTAGCTATTTGCTTCTTTGTATCCATAATAAAAAAAAAGTCAGGTGGCCATGGAGGAAGGAGGCCAGTTGGAGGCTGGCTGCTGAAGGCTTGATAACAATTCAGTTTATTCTATAACTCCCTAGAATATATATCTTAAGTGGCTTTCTGTTACCAGTATGTCATCAAACCTTCCTATAGTTCACAGTGTGCTGCTTGGCTAAACTTCTTCATCAGTTACATCCGCTTGAAAATTATAGTCTCCAAAAATTAAAAGTCATCCATGATTTTAATCCTAAAGCTAATCATTATAACTTATGAAATCGAAGCTATATCTCTACGTTGACATTCACTGTAACCTTGTCACATTAGTAAGAGTACTCTCACCAGGTCACAGCTGACCTAATTGTTAAATTCAGTGTCTTGCAACTTTTCATGTTAACTGAATTATTTGGAGTATCTGACATAGCTGTCCTTCTTTGCTATTCTGCTACACAATGCCTTTCCTTCTATTTTTTTTTACCTGCTCTACTCCTCTTCTCTTAGTTATCCTTTAACTTATTATAGTGATTTATTATAGGTTGTATCCTAAATTTTCTCTTTATACTGTATGCATACTTCTTAGATGACCTCAGATACTCTTAGGACTTCAATCACCATGCAAATGCCAATATCTTCCAAATCTACTTCACAAGTCTTTCTTTGGAAATCCAAATCCATATATCTAGCTAATATTACCCATTAACACTTCAATTTCATTATACCATTTCAGACATAATAGGTCCCAAAGCGATATTATTTTTCTTCTAAACCTGCTCCTCAAAGCTGGGCACCTATAATCCTAGTTACTCAGTAAGCTGAGATCTGAGGCTCAAAGTTCAAACCTAGCCCAGGCAGATAAAATCTTAAAACTCTTATATCCAATTAATCTGCAAAAATGCCAGAACTGGAGGCATGGCTCAAGTGACAGAAAACAAACTCTGCGTGAAAAAAGCTGAAAGAGAGAGCTCACAAAACAATGAGTTCAAGCCCCAGTGCTTGCATAATGAATAAAAAATTACTTAAGTATTTAATTTTAACCTGTTCTTCTTGTGTTTCCTATCATCTGCTGAATATTGCCACCATGTAAAACAATTATTCTACATATGCAAATAATTGCCAACCCCAGCCTCCTAAATAATCATAAAGTCATGTTCCAATGCCCATAGTTCCTGTTCCAGAAACCGATAGAGTAACTACAAAACTCTCCTAGCTAGATTTCCTGCTACCCAGAGAGCCTGGATATATGCAACTATGCATTACTGTGTATATAAGTGCCCTCTAGAATAGTCTCCATGCTGGTCTATTCCTTTCTCTACTTTTTGTTCAACAGCTTCAAAAAATAAATATTTGCCAGGTGCTGGTGGCTCACACCTGTAATCCTGGCTACTCAGGAGGCTGAGATCTGAGGATCACGGTTCAAAGCCAGTCTGGGCAGGAAAGTCCATGAGACTCTGATCTTCAATAAACCACCAAAAAACTGGAAGTGGCACTGTGGCTAAAGTGGTAGAGTGCTAGCCTTGAGCTGAAGAGCTGAAGGACAGCACCTAGGCCCAGAGTTCAAGCCCTACAGCCAACCATAAATAAATAAATATTCCTGTTTCTAGAAGAAACCTGCATGCATATTCCTTCAAATATCTTTCACTTGAACTGGAGAAACATTTTAGAGAAAAATACTTCTTAAAAAATACAAAATAAGATCTCCCACAGTGATGAATATGCTCTTATTTCTGCTCATATATCTGTTTTGGAATCTACCCAGCATTATTAACACCTGCCCTTGGAATCCACCTAACATTAGAAATAGCTACTTCTAGTATTCCCCAGAAAAGTCCCTTCTTCAAAAACAGTAATAATAGTTAACAATAACATGATCTTTAAACTTAAAATATAATTTGTTTTCTCAAATGATGCACCAAAAGCTGCCCTCAAAGAAGTAACTCTTCCCTACAATGGCAGGTTAATTTTATGTAGTAATAAAGAACATAAACTTATTTTTCAAGAATATTTATATTAAAGACTAGTTGTACCTTTTCAAGGTCTGGATCTTGGAAGGGAAATTTACTGATGACTATTTTATATTCTTCTTCACTGACAATAGGTATAGGGCTATAATTATCTTCTTCAAAAATGTCCCTGTTAAGGAGAATTGAAAACATATCATTACAAAGTATATCATTAGAGTGTTATAAAACATTATCTTTAAAAACTCAACCTCTACAAAAACGTTGTTATTTGTCAATATATTCCCAAACAGGAAAACACCAGTCATTCAGAATTCTAAACTTCAGTACCAAATACTGCACTTGTCCTTTGAAATTCATGTTCAACTCTTCTCTTTCTACTAATTTTACTTCCTCTCAGTACTTTATTTCTAACTTTCTATACTTGAACTCTTCCCAACATTATATAGCCTGAACAAACTCACTAAAAACATATCTAAGCTCTTGATAAGGAGTTTTCAAAATGTTGGTATGTCTTCTCTCTTCCAAATTAGACTGATAAGCTCTTTTTTTAAGTCTCTCAGAATGTAATAACTAGGAAAGATATTTTATAGATAATGAAGTAGAGACATTAACTATTCATCACACATCCATGTGTTCTCCTACCCCACCCTCTTATAGTTAGGTAGAACCACTGACTCATTTTGGCCACTGAGCTATGAGTTGAAATGATGTTTCTGTAAATATAACAATGAAATCCACAACTGCATAAATAATGCAAGCTAATAGTAGTAAAAAAGAAAATAAGGCTGGGAAGGTGGCTCAGTGGTAGAGTTCTTGCCTCACATGCATGAGGCCCTGGGTTTGATTCCTCAGACCACATAAACAGAAAAATCCTGAAGTAGTGCTGTGACTCAAGTGGTAGAATACTAGCCTTGAGCTAAAGAGCTCATGGACAGCCCCAAGGCCCAGAGTTCAAGCCCCATGACCGACCAAAAAAACCAAAAAACAATAACCAAGCAAATAAAAATCATGACAAAGAAGGAACTATCAGAATAAGTGAAGGAATATCTCAAAGAAGTTTGACTGAGAAGATATGCAGTCTGTAACGGCTTGAAAGATGAAAAGAGACATTTCTGAAGAGAATGTGGGAAGAAATTACATTGCACAGAAGGAACACATGCACAAAGGCATAATAAGGCAGGAGTGTGGAACCTTTTCTGCAAAAGGTCATTTGGAAATTTATAACATCATTTACAAGCCATAGAAAACTATCAATACAGGTAGCTGGGCCTCAGGCAGCTAACAAGAACCATCTAAGAAGCATATCTGTTTGTACTGAATGATTTCGAGGGCTCACAGGCTAGGAGTGAAAAGGTTTGAATGCTGTGGGGGCATAAAAATACATACCCTGCAGTATTACTAAAAGCACATATTAAAAGTACAAAACTGATGAGACATATGGTGGAAGATGAAGTTGGGTAGGTGGTCAAACTGAGGCATCTAGATCTTCCTAAAGTCATTTGTATGATTTAAAGAGAAGATATCACATAAAAGTTTTCACTCTGTGGAGAACAAATTGAAAAAAGGCCAATAGAGAACACAGAGAAGCTAGTGAGAAAGACTGAAGAATAATTTAAGTAAAAGGTGATGAGGATTTGAATTAAAGCTGTGGTAGAAGAAGCAGAAAGGAAGTAGCATAGCAAGAGTTTTTTTCTGCCATAAAATCAAATAATTTATTAGGTTTGTGAGATTATCTGCTTACAGTTAAACAACTTGTAGCTTAATTGCTTCTTATACTACAGTGACGTTAGAAAGGTCTTTCTGGTCCCTATCCCCAAAGCAGCCTAAAGCACCGTAAGCATTACATGGGACAAGAACTTTTAGGAAATAGAATATATAGGATCTAAAAATTAAATAAGATTGTGAGGGGAAAAAGTACTCGTGATAAACTTGTAGTTTCTAGATGAGACAAATGAACAAAGGAGACGTTTACTGAAGTAAAGAATACAAGAGAGGGGACTGGGAAGGTGGCTCAGTGGTAGAATGCTTGCCTTGGATGCCTGAGGCCCTGGGTTCGATTCCTCAGCACCACATAAGCAAAAAGAAAAAAGCCGGAAGTGGCGCTGTGGCTCAAGTGGTAGAGCACTAGCCTTGAGCTGAAGAGCTGAGGGACAGCACCCAGGCCGAGTTCAGGCCCCACGACCGGACCCCCCCAAAAAAAAAGATCAGAGATATCCCCCAGGCTCTGGGTTCAAGCCCCAGTTCAATCCCCAAGCCAATACACATACACACAAAAAGAATAAAATTAAAAATCTTGGTTTGTGGTGGGCACCGCTGGCTCACACCTGTAATCCTAGCTACTCAGGAGGCTGAGATCTTTGAACCGTGGTTCAAAGTCAGCCTGGGCAGGAACCTCTGTGAGACTCCTATCGTCAATAAAACACTCAGAAAACCAGAAGTGGCACAATGGCTCAAGTGGTAGAGGGCTAGCCTTGAGTTGAAGAGCTGAGGGACAGAGTTTAAGCCCTATGACTGACAAAAAAAAAATCTTGATTTGTTCAATCCAAGGCTTCCTCTATTCAATGTAAGCTTTTAGGGGAGAGATCATAGCATGATCTATAGTAACTATATTATACAAAAAGTTTTTTTGGATACTGTTAAAAGTTTTTAGGCTGGGCATGTGGCTCACGCCTGTATTCCCAGCTACTCAAGAGGCTGAGATCTGTGGATCATGATTCAAAGCCAGAAGGAAAGTCCCTGAGACTCTTTTCTCCAATTCACCACCAGAAAACTGGAAGTGGCATGGCACGGCTCAAGTGGTAGAATGTTTACCTTGAGCTGAAGAGCTCAGGGACAGTGCCCAGGCCCAGAGTTCAAACCCAACTGACCAAAAAAAAAAAAAGACAAAAAAAAAGTTTTTAGTTTTTAAGGAGTTATTTCAAACTGAAATCATAATTTTTAATATATACCATATATTTTAATTTTTTATTCATTTATTTATTCTCCATCTTATAAAAGAGAGAGTTACTTTTTCCAATATAAAGATAATCATCCAAACATTTCTGCAATTAGCCAGATAAAAATTAGTTATTTCAAAGATATAATAAAACTTACTGTTCCTTTAATAGCATTTAGTAATTTTGAAATACATTTAGTAAGTATGATTTTATATTTAATGTCATAGAATAGGAAAGATGCCATAATATACTTAGAGCTGATCTGAATATAAACCATGATAAGATGTATTATGCTTCAATAGGGCTGCTACTCAGGGAAGACTACCTTCTAACATGTTAGAGTATTTCCTAGCATGTATGAGGCCTGGATTGTATCTCCAGAACCAAAAAGAAAAAAACTATTATTCATTATTAGTATGTTTTTTAAAAAAGGTTTACTGAACAAAGTATCAAGAATCAATACTCCTAGAGATTTCCTATCATAAAAGCTCACAACCTCATTTTTAAATCTTCATTACCCATTACTAATTGTAAATAATAGATTGACATTTTACATGAAGATACTTCACTGAAAGTAAACTATTATAAGGAAAAGCCTATAATGACCAATTAATAATTTCAGTCATCTTTTATATTAACATGTTTAATATTCCCACAAAACATAGTAGGAAGATACTTGTGGGTTTAATTTTAATCTTAAAAAAACCTTGTCATTATATAAAGGCTCATTATTCCAAGTGAATTCAAAATTTGAAAACTGCAAATTTTTAAGAAATTAATCACTATACTATATTACTGCAAATTATAAACATTGAAGAACAAGTTCTATTGAGTTTTAATGGAGGAGTTTATTTTGGAAACAAAGAATTTGGAATGATAATTAAAAGCCTTTTCTTCACGGTGCTTTTCAGTGATCTAATGAAGAGGTCAGTTGAGACTAATGAGAGCAGCTTAATTCTTCATTTTCTATAATGCTGGAAAAAAAGTAGTATCTTGGGAAGCCCCAGTCAACACAGAATCACAGTCTAATAAAACCAAAGGAAGTCTTGATTACTACTTCCAAATCTGAGCAATTACAACAAATGCAGAATGACAGAAGTACAGTTTTCCTTTGACACTATACAGCTCTGAAGTTCTTGATGTAACTGAATTAAAATTTTAGTAACATAAATTGTGTGACTTACTGAATGAGCTCTAAGGACAGCAATTATCTTTGAGAGAGCCATGTTCCAAAGTTCATCAGTGTATGCCCTGGTTACTAATCCTTGGGTCACATGTAAAATGTGATCTTCCACCACAAAAAACCTAAAACAGTAATTACCAACATAGCATGTGTTGAAAAATAAAAAAGCTCAAATTGAAAATATTTCTGACATTTAACATGGTAACAAAATTAATAACAGTTACTTCTATATTAGATACATACCCTACAATTTGAGTGAAATATCTTCTATAGCCATCAACTGTTTCATGCTTTAAATAAAAAATAAAAATCAATTTAAACCAATAAACACCAGCAACATAAATGTTCCAAGTCACCATAACTTCATAAACAAATATTTATTGAGATCCCTAGTACATGCTGCACACATTTTTAGGTAACAGGAATACCCTTGCTCTGATAAAATGTATATTTTAATTGAAATAGACAATGAACAAGCCTAAAAGTAAATCAGATTTCAGAACTTCCTTCTCAGCAGACTAGCTGAAGCTACTACCATCATTTTTCACTTGGGCAATTCTATTCTACCTTACATCACTATTCTACCTCATCTCCCCTAGCTTCCAGGCTTATACCTACACCTAATAATTCATGTAAACTGTCAAAATGATGACTTTCAAATGGCAATCTGAACTTTCTATCTTCTGTCAAAAACCTTTCATGTCCTTTCATATTATTCATAACAAAAGTCAAGCTCCTTAAAATGACCTACCATTGTATATTTATAATTTTGACAAAAGATGAAAATATGTGATCATCTTACTATCATTCATATGAAATACTTTATATTTCAATAAGTTCAAATGGTATATTTTACATGTTTCAAAAATTTGATCAAATTTTCAAACATTTGAGTTTCAGTTTTGAAAGGAAAAGTGTTGTTGTTTCTTTTTCATGATCATGATGGACACAAAGGCTCAAGCCTGTGATCCTAGCTACTTGGGGGATGGAGACTGAAGGATCATAGTTTGAGGCCAGCTCAGGCAAAAAGTTAGCAAGATTCTCTTCTCAGTAATAGCTGGGTGTGGAGTATGAACCTATCATTCTAGCTACATGAGAAATGAAAATAGGAGGAACATGACTGTGGCCAGCTAGGGCATAAACAAGAGACCCCTATTCAAAAAAAAATAACTAAAGCAAAAAGAGGTTGGAAAATGGCTTAACTGAAAAGCAATTGCCTAGCAAATAGGAAGACCTTAGTTTAATCCCCAATACATCAAAAATAAATAATACTAAGTAGTATTTATCACAAAAGTAGTCTATAAAGTACAAAATGTTTGGTATTTCCCAATACTAACTACATTTAACCTACTATGTAATAAAAATACCTAAAATTGTATGCATTCTTGAAAAGAGTATTTTTCAACAACTGGTCCATCAGGATTGTCTGTATCTCACTTGATCAAGTTCATCAAACATATTCTATATTACTACTGACATTCTACTTGGTTTACAAGATATTAAGATATTTAAAAATCCATAGTACTTGTGTATTTTTTCATTTTTTTGTATTTATAGTAATTTATCTTAAGTATTTTAAATCAACATTATCAAATACCTATAGGTTCAGAATGATCATTTTTATCAACTCCAAGATGCAAATTTATTTTCACCATTCTAGGACTTTTTCCTCTAACACAATAAAGTTTATTCTTGGTATCTATCCTTTTACTAGTTACTTTAAAAGCTACATTAAACATCCTTAAGTAGTTAAACTCTAACATTAGTCAATGTTTTTACTGTTGTTCTGGACAATTCAGATACTGTAGAACGGTTAATATTTATTCATTTCCATCTCATTCCAATGTTAATGTTATCATTGCTTTTTAATTCTATCTTAAAGATATATTAATAAATGTCCTACAGTTAATACAGATTTACCTACATATTTATACTTTCGTTACTATTTGTTACTTCTTGCATCTCTATCTTCCATCTTCCATTCAGTATCCTTTCATTTTAGCCTTTCCTTTCAGAATTTCTTAAGTAATGGTATTTTGATAATAAACTCCATTCCTTTATCTAAAAATATGTTTTCCCTTCTTTCATCAGATGCTGAATCTTAGGTTGATAGTTATTTTCATTCAGTACTCAAGATATTTCATTGAAATGTTTATTTTAAAATAATATATTTTCTATCCCTTGGTACTTTTGGTTTTTTTTTTTAATGTTTCTGTGCTTGTAGGAAGGCTTGAACTCAAAACCTAGGCATTGTCCCTTAGTTCTTTCAATCAAGGCTGATGCTGTACCTCTTGAGCTACAACAGCACCACTTCTGGCTTTTTGGTTGTTAACTAGAGGTAAGAATTTCATGGACTTTTATGCTTAGACTAGTTTTGAACCTCGATCTTCAGATCTTAGCCTCCTGAGTAGCTAGTATTGTAAGTGTGAACCACCAGAAGTTCAGCTCATTTTGACACTCTTAAAACTAATATATGGTTGAGAAATTCACAGGCAGGATCTTGGAGTGTTCTGAGAGGTCCTATAGCATCCCTCTCAGGCATAACACATAAAACACTTGAACTCAGGGCCTGTGCACTGTCCTTGAGCTTCTTTTGCTCAAGGCTAGCACTCTACCACTTGAGCCACAGCACCACTTCCAGCCTTTTCTGTTTATGTGGTGCTGAGGAATTAAACCCAGGGCTTCATGCATGCTAGGCAAGCATTCTGCAACTAAGCCACATTCCCAGACCTTATTTATTTATTGTCGGTCATGGACACTATCTGTACACTGTCTGTATGCTGTGACTCAGCTCTTCAGCTTAAGGCTAGCGTTCTACCACTTGAGCCACAGTTCTACTTATGGTTTTCTGAGGGGTTTATTGGAGATAAAAGTCTTATGGACTTTTCCTGCCCGGGTTGGCTTTGAACCATGATCCTCAGATCTCAGCCTCCTGAGTAGCTAAGATTACAGGTGTGAGCCACCAGCACCCAGCTCTTTATCTATTTTTTTTCAACATCTTCCTTAATGAAACATTAGCTTATTAGAAAAGGGACTTAACAGTTCTGTGCTGTACCCTTGACATCTAACCCAACTATTAAAAATGGTAGGTGTTCAATAAATATTTGTAGTTAAATGAATACATGCTCTGAAGAAATTAAACCAAGGTAAAAGAATAAAGTGCAGCAAAGTAATTAAAAATTCACATATATTTACCATATTTGACTGCGGTTGCAATACTAGTCTTGCTTGTTTCTTTCTTTGCTTTCGGTAATAATTTTCAAATGTTTCTTCATCACCCTAAAATAAAGTCAACAGTACAATTTTTTTAAATGTAACTATACCCATCTACACACACTGCTAATAACACATTGTTCTTTTCCTGCCAAGAATGACTACCTGTACATAATCTTTTCTAACTTAATTTGTTTGTATCCAATGTTGTATTTTATTTATTTTTATTTTTAATTACTTATTTTTTTGCCTGTCCTGGGGCTTAAACTCAGGGCCTGGGCTTCTTTTGCTCAAGGCTAGCACTCTATCACTTGAGCCACAGTGCCACTTCTGGCTTTTTCTGTTTATGCAGAACTGAGGAATCGAACCCAGGGCTTCATGAATACTAGGCAAGCATTCTACCACTAAGCCACATTCCTATCCCCTCAATGTTGTATTTTCTAATGAAATATTGTAATTTTTATTAGTGAGATTAAGGCCATAGGTGTTAAAATATTTTCTTCATTTGGGACAAATGATTATAATCAGTACTTACTGTGAAATTTATGAAATCACCTAATCTCAAAGAAAAAAAGTTAGAGAAGGGATGGGTTAAGAGAGATGGGTAACAATGTTGTCAGACACTTTGTACTCATATACTGTTTTGTAGAAAAGGAACTTCTTTGTACAAATACCTAAAGGTAATAAAAAATTTATTTGGAAAAAAAATCAGTACTTAACTAATCCAAACAGCTTAAGTATAACGTACATCCTGATTATGAGTGAACCAAATACTAAATTTGTATTAAAAACGAGTACTGGGCTAGGAATGAGTTTGTCTTTGTAGTTCCAATATTTTTCCTTTATTTTGTACCCTTCTCATTTAAACTATTATATAATGTGGAAAGATTCTTTTCTGATCATATTTACTTGAAGGTTCAAATATCAATTGTTTTTAGATGCTCTCAGATTTGGAAGGTTTTCTGCTTTAATTTCACTGAAAAACTTTCTATATCTTTGTATCTTAGCTCCTTTTTCTTTTTTTTTATTGTGAAAATAATGTACAGAGGGGTTGCAATTACATGGGCAAGATAATGAGTACATTTCTTATCAAGCATTGTAGCCTCCTCCTTTGTTTCCCATCCCTTCCCATCCTCCCCTCCCTCTCACCCCTCCCCCACCAAAGTTGTAAAGTTCGTTTTCGACATAACGACTTGTAGATCTCATTGTTGCAATGGGTCCACCTGTATCCCTATTTAAACGATTTGTTTTTCCCCTTCCCCTCCACAAATTATACGAACATCAAATACAGTGAAAGCAGGGGTTACACTGTGGGAGGGACATACAAAACAACAAAGAAATAATCTTATAAATGTGTTAGAAACAATCGCATGAAGGAAAAAAAACATTTGAATACATATCTTAGGGTTCATTTCCCTAACATCAACTTATCTGAACTTTTCTGCTTGACTCAGACATATACTAGATATTGCAAATAAGGGAAGACATGGGACCTATGTTTCTTTGGGCCTGGCTTACTTCACTTAAGATCATTTTTTCCACACCTTTCCATTTCCTAACAAATGGGGCAATGTCATTCTTTCTGATGGAGGCATAGAATTCCATTGTGTATATATACCACATTTTCTTGATCCATTCATCT